ATAATGTTTTGTGATGAAATCTAGGAAATCACTGGGAATATATTGTAGTTTGACAGTTTATTTCTTACAACCTATATAAATATACACAGTTGATCTGCTTCTCAAAGTAACATAACTTCAACTTGGGCAACAGATTTTTCTTTGGTAATGAACTATCTAAAATATATAAGAGAAATAAATATTTGATTTGGACATTTTATTTTCAGAATTTTTATTTGATCTATTTTTTTTCTTTGCATCATGGAAATGTGCTGGTATCCCTTTATGGAATATCTTAACAATGGATACATTCAACTGCAGAGAATCATAAGAAAAATATTGAATACACCATGGTAATACACAAACATAATCCTGGGGTGGCTGATGATGATGAATTCACCTAACTCATTTAAACATATTCTGAAATGGCAAAATATTTGTACTTATTCTGTTTCATTGATTTTAATATAATCTGTTTTGAATCAGCTAATATATTTGAAGTAATCAAAGTACTATCATAAAAGATAGAACAAACACAAGGCAAAAACAAAGTAATATATATATATATATATATATATATATATATATATATATATATATATATATATATATATATATATATGTTTTCTGAGGTTTTCGCGGGTATTTGTATGTAGGTCTTTGGTTGTTCGGGTTTTCTCCCACGTAAAATTGGAAGTGTCTTGGCGACGTTTCGACGAAGTCACATTCGTCATCTTCAGGCTGGTGCTTTCAGCTTCGTGCCTCGAGCAGCAATGTGTGGTCTTAGCTGTTTCTTCCTTTTAACTGCCAGTGGGGGTATGAACTGATTGGGTGGGAGCTTGGTTAACCAATCAGAACACACCTCCAACAACCAAAGACCCTATATATATATATATATATATATATATATATATATATATATATATATATATATATATTATTGAGTAATAATATTAAAAATATGAACCCTGGGTATATTCATGTTAAAATAAAATGAGCACCAAGGTAATTAAAACTATAAAAGTTTAATTTAAAAACACCAAGTTTTCGTCGTCACCTGCCGGCATCATCAGGGCTTAAAACGCCAGAGAGTGGGAGAGTCTCTTATAAGCAAGCCAGAGTCTGCGCCCGGCTCCTTGATCTCATTATCGGACCTATTTGGATAGATTGTACTCCGGTGATCCGTTTCTTCCTGCACCCCTTATCTACGTGTATGTCCTCATTTGCCTTCTTTTCCTTGGATTCTAGGGTGGGTGGGGCAACCTCCCTATCCCCCTGGTTGCCCCCCTCCTTTGATCCATTCTCTCCCTCTTTCCTCTTTTTCCAATCCACATCCATGCAGCTATTCTCTCTACGAGTGCTTTCCCTTTCTTCCCTAACGCCTCCCCCATTCACATGTTTATATGTATGATGTATTTTTTTAAAAAAATAAGTCCAGAATAGGATTTCAAAAGTATCTGAAAGAAGAAAAATCCTTCTCAGCCTTTTTAGAAGGCAACCAAGATAAGAGCTCCCTTTCAGAAAGCAAACATAAGTAATTTCTATCACATACTTTTTAAAATGAAAAATATTAATATTGACTATCAGTGATGGCGAACCTTTTAGAGACCGAGTGCCCAAAAAGCCAGCCCCTGCCTGCCTCTGCCCTGCCTGCCTGCAGGGCCACTCACCGCCTCCACAGCCTGCCGCAGATCATCCAGGCAGCCCAGGAGTGCCATGGCGGCCACGCCCTCCACCCACACCCCGCAACATGATCTGCACACAATGGGCTCAAGGGTGGAGTCTTGTCCCCAGTGCCTGGCTGCCATGTCCTTGGCTGTGCTGCTCTGTGTGGACCACGCTTGGTGGCAACTCTCCTCCAGGGGGTCTGCTGGTGAGGAGGGGCCATGGGAGGAGATGGAGCTGAGGCGACGGTGCGGGTGCCCACAGAGAGGGCTCTGGGTGTCACCTCTGGCACATGTGCCATAGGTTCACCACCACTGGACTAGATTATCTCTTGTTGCTAAAGTATGCATATTATACATTATTTCTAAAACTATCAAATTTTTGGTAGTTTAATGAATTTTTTCAGAATAAAATCTACTTTTGGATACATTTTACACCTTTAATCTAGACTAAATGAAGTATTATTTCTACTATATTTTTCATTAATAAGTATAGTTTTTAAAACTGAAAATTTATTAATCATATCCTTCCTGTACAATATATATGCCAACATTATAACTGGGTAGCAACCAGCCAATGGTGTGCCAATAAGTATTATACAATAAATATTATATGATTATACAATAAGTGTAATGATCAACGCTGCTGACTTCCTTGCCCCATCATACATCTTAGCAAATCTTCCAACTGCTGATCAGCATTGGCTTAGATATGTTCTCAACCAGCTTGCAAAATTCCTAAACATTAACACATGTTATCTCATTACCCAATCTAAGCCAGCTCTAGAACCCCACTGCATCAGAACATTTTTAAATTTTATGTATTCATGAAGATTTTTAATTGCCCTTTATGTGCTATTATGAAATAATTAAAGTTTGATGGACAAAGGAATGATTATTAGTGCTCTAACATTGCTTGGAAACCTAAAAATAATGTATAACAAAAAAAATTGAGATTTCCATTCAGACTTAAAAATCACCATTTCTTTTTGATTCAACAGTGTTACCATATTATTATTTTTAGGCCTTTTTATGGGTATCTTGATTTGTGAAATCAAAATATTCTGATTTCACAAAGCATAAGCCCCATAAATGACATTTTCCTTAACCACTATACAATACTAACTTTCCCGATTCATAGCTAACTTCATAAATTCATAGTCCTGCATTCAGAGCAAATTAACTTAAAATGAATAAAGTGGCTTCAGTCAGAGTGTGTTTTTTTAAAAAATAAATAAATCAATAGATTAACCAGATGAAAATAAAAGTGAGATAGGCAAATTCAGTTATACAAATTAAATACATATGTTTTATGACATTGCAATATTTTTTAAGTAATTGGATGTGATTTATAAATAAAAAAAAAATAAAGATTTAACATGCATCTGAAGACTGATTGCTTTTCAGTATTCTAGTCCTTTTTTCATGTAAAGTTAAAAAAGGATAAAGGAGTCCCTTTGGATTTCATTCCACTAGCTATACCAACTTTATGGGATGGGTGCTCATCTCTGTTTCAAGGGCATTGAGCCAGCACTGTCTGAAGATGGGTTTCCATACTAATAGGGCCAGCATGATGTCACAGAGTGCTGTTACATTCCCACCGAAGTAATTCAGTTTAATTTTCATGTACATTTTGGAGGGTTATGAATAAATAAAGAAAGAAAATGAACAAATTATAGCAAACGTCTTGTTTTTTATTGTCAGTAAGGAAAAAAAATGTGGCACTATTTCAAGGCCTTGGAAAATAACCTTGGTAATTAAAAATATACTAAAATAGCATTAATTGCTGAAACAAAAATTCCCCCCCCCACACAGGAACACAGAACACAGAAGGATTGTTCCTTCTTTCTCCCATGGCATCCAATAATGTTTTTAAAATTAAATATGAAGAGCTAGAAATCACTGGGAATATATTCTGCTCTAGGGATTTATTTTTGATACCATTTAAATACACACAGTTGGATTCCTGTCACTTATGCTTGAAATTTTTATTCTTGATAGGGAGGAGATATTCTTAAGGTATGAATAGTCTGTATATCTAACAAATGTAAATTAACTACAGGCAGTTAATTTATTCATGGGGATTCTATTTGATCAATTCTTCCTTTTCATCTTATGCAAATATGCAATTATCCTTTTTGAGACATCTTAAGAACTGATACATCAAGGGAAAGACATGGGAGGAAATGGGATGCACACCATGATAATATATCGAAAAACTCCTACACATAATAATATATACTATGTATATTGTAACTTATTTGTTGACTAGAATGAACTATGGTTTCAAAAGAATCTGAAGAAAGAAAAATCTTCCTGAGACTTTCTGCAAAACTGTTAAGTTAGAGTCCCCCTTCAGGAAGCAGAGATTTTAATGTCTCTTTCTGTGTACTGTATGTTTAAGAATAATTTAAAAAGTTAATACTATCCAGGTTATAATATCTCTCCATGTTAGACTATACTATGCACCATTTCTGTATTATTACAATGGCAGCATTTTCATAAAGATATATGAAACTCAGTTACAGTTTATTCTTGGATTCAGTTTTCAGTCCTTACCTACATTAAATGTAGTATAAATGTTATGTATTTGCATAAAAATACAGAAACAGGACAGGTTCATTGTTGCTAACAAAGAATGGATACATAGCTTTTTTATATTATGGCTCTCTAAATAATTCCACATATTTAAATTATGACCTGGTTTATTCAATTATTTATGCTACATTACAATATTTCTACCATTGTGAGAAAAACCATTGTTTTGCTTCAGCTATATTCTTTTTAACCTATCCTTTGTTTCTTAGATGTATCTTCTTAGTTAATTTCCATTATATTATTTTGCCACATATTTAATCTCTTTGCCATAGCTAGTCATCAGAATCAGGCAGAGCCTTCATTTCTTTTTTGAGGGATACCCTCTTGTGACATCTATAGTTCAGTGGCTACTCTTTCTAATTAGGATACTCTTTAAAAAAAACAAAACAAAAACCCATCCAAGTTACATATTTGATCATCTTACTGCAAATATTCCAATCCACCGAGGAATGAAAGAGTTGTATTTTAGCCTTTTTGGAGTTAAATAACTATACAACTACAATCTCCTTTACTGATATTATTAATGCTTATGCCTTAATTTCTACCATAGAGAAAAATGAGCTTTGCTTCAGATAAATAGCTTGCTTTCTGTTCTTTATTTCTCCGACATATCATACTGGTCACATTTCATTATTACTATTCTCTTTCCATACTTTTATATACTTCTATCTTTCTGGTCATAAGAAACTGGCAAAATATTAATCAATAGGTATTTGTTGTTTCCATCCACATTCATAACTTTATGCTTCTTTTTTAGTTATGGAGAACCAAACCAAAGTGGAACAATTCATTTTGCTGGGACTAAAGAATGATTTGCAATTCCAGTATATAACATTTGGAATTTTTCTTCTGTTGTACTTGGCCACATTAATGGGGAATGGAGCTATTGTGATGGTAGTTTTAGCTGAGCCTCGCCTTCACAAACCCATGTATTTTTTCCTTGGAAATCTTTCCTCCCTTGACATCATTCACTCCACAATAACTATTCCAAAGATGCTACAAGGATTTCTAGTAGAGCTACAAACCATCTCCTTCAATGGCTGCATGGTCCAGCTCTTCTTCTTCTACTTCATTGGTGGAACTGAAGGCATACTTCTTGGAATCATGGCCTATGATCGCTATGTTGCAATATGCAACCCTTTGCGTTATACTCTCATCATGAGAAAAGATATCTGTATCTTAATGGCAATAGCTGCCTGGTCTATGGCCTTTTTCCATGCCTTGATGCATACAATCATGACTGTTCATCTTCCTTTCTGTGGACCAAATATAATTGAGCACTTTATCTGTGACATCAAGCCTTTGTTAAAACTGGCCTGTGGAAGCATACACCTCAATCTCATGCTCCTCAGTATTGTAACCAGCTGTGTTGTTATGAGTCCTTTTATCTTCATACTCTTCTCCTACTTTTATATTATTACTTACCTTCTCTTTAAAGTGCAATCCAAAAGTGGTTGGCAAAAAGCCTTCTCCACCTGTGGATCCCATCTAACTGTAGTGGCTTTAGTCTATATTCCTGTGTTGTTCAACTACATGCTTCCCAGTGTGGGTACCTCCTCTCAGCAAGACATGACAATAACACTCATATATAGTGCAGTTACTCCAGTACTGAACCCATTTATTTATACCCTGAGAAACAAGGAAGTTAAAATGACATTGAGAGTGATTTTTGGCAGAAAAATATTCACCTTTTGGTAAAAGAAGATGATCTCTCTCTCTCTCTCTCTCTCTCTCTCTCTCTCTCTCTCTCTCTCTCTCTCTCTCTCTCTCGTGTGTGTGTGTGTGTGTATAAAAACATGTGATCACCAGGAAAGTATAAAACAATAAAAGTTTTAATAAATGCCAACATCATCAGAGTATATACAGGTCAATGGGAGAAACCATTTATAAATAAGCCAGCATCTGTGCTTGACTTCTAGACCTCGTGACGGGTCCTGGCCAGCCAATCATTGTCCCCGTCGTAATCCCTATAAAACTAGGTAGTTTATCCTTGCTGCCCTTGTCCGCATGTGCATTAACACTTACTCCCCCATTTCTCTGTGCCTGTAAATCAGGAGGATGTTTAGTCCTTCTCCAGTCCATTTATATATACATCATATAAAAATGCATATTTCTAAGGTTATCTAATGCTGGCATTTTATTGAAAACCTGCATTTTTTTCAGAATGAAATCTGATTTTTCACCTTTAAACTAGATTAAATGAAGAATTCTTTTTGGTATAGTTTGCATTAACATGTAACATTTTTAAAATTGAAATTTCTTGATCATGATCTTCCTGTACAACATATATGCCAATATTTTTAGCCAGCTAGTGTTGTGCTGATAAATGTACAGCAACCAGTCCTCTTACCATGCTGCACAGAAAGCATCCTAACATGCTAGAATTACAATTTAGCAATATTCTCAAGCTTGAAAAATTTCTAGGATATCACTGCAGGATTAATAAGACATTAATAAGATAATAATTAATAAGACATTAATAATAGAATATTGAATTTTATGAATTCAGAATGATCTTCAATTGCTCTTTATGAGCTGTTGTGAAATAATTTAAGTTTGATGGATAAAAGAGACGACTAAATATAATTGGGTATTAGTTCTCTAACTTTGCTTGGAAAGCTAAAATAGTTTACATCAAATATTTTATTACTTTCGTAGTCTATTATTAAATATCACAGTTTCTGCTACTGCTGAATTGTTTGTAGTTTTAACTGTTGCTAGGACATCTTAGGGACAACAAAGTGAGCAACAATAAGCTCTCAATGTTAAAGCAACCAAGTAAGTTGTACACTATCTATTATAAAAGAGAGGAGTTTATTTAATAAAATAAGATGGGGGGGGTAAATTAAATTAATTTATTATCTTCCTCTAATCCACAGTTGTTTCTCTTTGTAAGTTTTTTTGCTCTGATAAGGTCTATTTGTGTAACAGCAGGCAATAGCATGCTACTCAAAGAAGAAGAAGAAATTAACACATTCCAAAAAAAGTCTGATAGAACAGCTACTCTACATAAAAAACAAACTCATTTCTCCATGTCAAAACACTCCTGAGGTTAGTATCCTGTTGGTGGCTTCTGGCATGTGTTTAATGTAGGTTGAAGTTTGATGCCTTCTAGTCAGTTTTTGATTTATGGTGACTATGTGGACAAGCCCCTGCTGTTTTCTTGGCAAATTTTTTTCAAAAGTGATTTGCCATTGCTTCCTTCCTAGGACTGAGAGTGACTGACCCAAGACCATCCAATTGGTTTTATATCTAAAGTGGGGCTAGAACCTATGATTTCCCAGTTTCTAGCCTGGTGGTTTAACCACCTCACCAAAGTGGCTCTCTGTTGCTATTAATGTGTATGAATTGTACCAGTTATGCTACAATTGGTTAAGTGGATAGATATCATTTTGTAAAATTATATGGGTATTCCCTGCATTGAGATAAGCAGGAACTAGATTCTAATCATCACAATAAACACCAGATAATGACATGGCAATAAAAAAAGAAATACCCTAATCAACACATCCTGCCCAAATACATAAAAGGATATTTGTAAAAGCAGCTTCATATAAATAGGCAACCGCCCTCACTACCCATGCCAAGGCACTGCTAATAGTACCCAGACTTTTAATAAAACATTTTCAAGAAGAGTGAGCTTAGAGAAAACTCAATCCAGAGCTATATTCATTCTACACTAATGCTACCTATGTTATATGAACTCAATGTTTATGAATGAATATTATTTCACATTTTGTAAATAATGTCAGATCTGTGATAGATTACAACTGCATGGACCAGCATTGAAGAAATAGGGAGCACATAGATGCAATAATGATTTTCCTTTATGCTACTGTTGAATGATTAGGAAATTGTCTGCATATGTAATTGTTGGTAATACAACCTAGGAATCAATAAGTCATCAAGAATAAGCTCTAAGACACATGAAATAATAATAGGTTATCAATGACCACCCTTTAATAAAGCAATATGGATGTTAAATAAGATTAACTAATTATCTTTAGCTGTTGATTAATTTTTCTTACAATATGTATGCATGTTTGTATGTATATCACATGTTCATATGGCTGGCCATATCACACAAATTGACTCTGGGCAGTGTGCAATAAAAATATTAAAACACTACTTTAAAAAATTAATTAAACATGAGCAAAAACAATATTGTGAAAAGGTCAAAATTAGAATATTATATATGTACAGGTTCCTTGCTGCTTTGGATTCCTCTGGTCTGATAAAAGAACCTTTTTTTTTTTTTAATCTATGTACTAGCAAGTGTATTTCTTTGAAACTAATATTAGTGAAATGAAAATGAAAATAATAAAAGTTATCTCATAGGCAATGTGCAAGCAGAAAGTGTTTATGAAATGTTTATATGATAGTTCTATGATGGGCAAATTGAAACACGTTTCACATTAAATACAATTCCACAAACTTCATTGGAAGAATTATGGGATTGGGTTTTCCATATGAAATACTGTAGAAGTTCATCTTTTAGACTCAAGGCACAGAATTTAAAGTAGCATCCTTCTTTGTCAGATATGACAAAGAACATTATATGATCAATTTCTTACTAATAAGGTTTGATAATGCATGCATGGGTTTTGCCACTGTAGAGCTTTAACTATTTATGTTACATCATTTATCTAAATACTTAACACCTCATCCCAATTTTTACCATAGAGAGGAGTGAGTTTTGCTTCAGATAAGTAGCTTGTTATATATTCATTATTTCTGTTGCCAAGCTTGATATACTTCTTTGTGATCATATGAAACTGGAAAAACACTAATCAACACTTATTTAATATTTCTATCCACATTTACAAATTTCTGCTTCCTTTTTAGTTATGGAGAACCAAACTAAGGTGGAATAATTCATCTTGCTGAGACTAAAGAATGATTTGGAACTTCAGAATGGATTTTTTGGAATTTTTCTTCTGTTGTATATAACCACATTAGTAGGCAATGGTACTATTGTGATTGTACTTGATTACAACATGTGTCTTTCTTTAATGCCGCGAACTCCAAAACATAAAGGGAACCACATCAGCTCTTTTCCAATCCTCATGTAATTCCTCAGTATTTCAGGATTTTTTAAATATATGGTTCAGTGGTTCTGAGATAACATATGTCAGCTCCTTCAGAACTCTGGGATGTAAACCATCAGGTCTCAGTGATTTATATTCATAAAGGTCATAAAGGTTATTGCTTATTTTTATTTTTAGTCTGTCTTATATAGTTAGGTTTTTGGTAGGTTGGGCTATAGTTTCTTTTCATATAAAGAGTGATGCAAAGAATGAGTTAAGCAGTTCTGCTTTCTCCCTACTGCCTGTCACTTTCTTGCCATCCCTTTTAAGTGGACCTACTGTTTCCTTGACTTTTTTCTTGTTATTTATATATTGAAAGAAACTTTTTTTTATTATCTTTGACTTTTGTTGCAAGCCTTTGTTTATTCTGAACCTTAGTTTTTCTAACTTCATCTTTATAGATTCAGGCTATATGCCTTAGTTAGTGTCCCTCTTTCCATTTTTTGTACTTGTCCTTTTTGTCTTTCAGTTTATCAGAGAAATCTTTGTGCAACCATGCTGGTTTCTTCTTGGATTTCTTGATTTTCTTTTTTAGTGGTATTGTGCTGGATTGTGCTTTTATGATCATATTTTTTCAGAGTTTCCTATGCTTCTTGAGTTGTTTTCCCCTTTAGGATTTTCATCCATGGAATTTTTCTTAGACTGTCTCTGAGTTCATTAAAATCAGCTCTTTTAAAGTTTAAGACACTTGGTGGATTATGTTCCATTGCTTATGTTTGCATTATATTGAATTCCAATATGGCATGGTCACTCTCACCCAAAGTTCTGGCAATTTCAATTCCCTCTATCACTTCTTCTCTATTATTAAGAATCAGGTATAGTATAACTTTTCCTCTAGTTCTTTTCTCTACTTTTTGGATGACAAAGTTGTCAGCTAGGTTGGTTATAAATCTGTTTGATCTCCCACTTGCTGCAGAATTTATCTCCCAGCTGATATCAGGATAGTTAAAGTCTGCCATTACTACTGCATTATATATCCTATGTACATTTTTTTAGTTGTTTAACAAAATGTTCATCTATTTTTTCTGCTTTTTGGATGGCCTATAGTGTACACCTGTAGTAATGACATTCTTTTCTCCTTTTGTTTTGATTTAAATCTATGGAACCCCAAAATGAAGTTATTTGGCAAAAATGTAACCTTCTAAAATTATAATAATGAACTCTCTATACCAGGGGTAGGCAATCCAAAACACTTAAAGAGCCACTTGGACCCGTTTCCCACCAAAAACAAAACACTGGGAGCCACAAAACCCTTTTGATATCTAAAATGAAGATAACACTGCATATATCCTTTTTTACCATTATTATAGGTGTGTGTATGTGTTTGTGTGTATGTATATATATATGTGTGTGTGTATATGTATATATGTATGTGTATACACACACACACACACACACACACACACACACATACACACACAGGTAAAAAAGGATATATGCAGTGTTATCTTCATTTTAGATGTCAAAAGGGTCTCTCTCTCTGTCTCTTTCTCCCTCCCTCTCTATCTGCCCTTGGTCTGCCACTTCCCCCGCTCTCTTTCTTTCTCTCTCTCTCTCTCTCTTTCCTCTCTCTCTCTCCCTCTCTCTCTCTCTCTCTCTCTCTCTCTCTCT